GGAAGGAGAAAAGAGAAAAAGGGTTTTTTTTAAAAAAAAAACTTGAACAGGTAAAGACTTCTTTAAGCTACCTTAGCGCTTGGGTTGTGTTCTGCCCCAGCTACGGACCCCAAGGAACGCAGCTCACACAAACTCTATACAAAGCTTATTTTACTCAAATAACTTAGTTTTTATCATTCAAAGGCTGTTAATGAACTGTCTTAACAGCCTACCAGAATTCTAAGATAAGATAATCACAGTCTTACTAGAGTTGGCAGAAAGCCCAGGAGCAATTTTGCAGACGCGAAGGAGAGTGAGCCAAAGTTGTTCTCTACAGCTTGTTGCAAGTGGCCTTCCTTCTTAAATAGGCTAAGGGAGTGGCCAATTAGCCCCAAGCCTTACTCTCGAGGAGACCGCCTCCTGAGGAGCCACTCCTGCCTTTTGGCAGCTCTGCGCACCCGTGCATTGAGAAGGGGCTCCTCCTCTTCATCCTCTTCACCCATGGAAGCTTCTGGAGGTTCTGAAGGCCCTGGCTGAATCCCCGCCTCTGGCACCACATCTTCTCCAGACTCCTCATTGTCTGACTCGAGTGCCAGCTGCACAGGCTGCTGGCACAGCACCACACCAGCCTCCTCGCTGTCAGAATCAGCTACTAGCTGCACAGGCCGCTGACGGGCCACAACTCCTGTTTCACTATTCAGGTGGCCCTGAGGGTGCAGATAAACCTCCAAGTGACCTCAATAACTCTCAGAGGTTCTGAAGGTGGCACGCAGCGCCCTCTCTGTGGGCACATGAGCTGTAACCCCAGTTCACCTCTGCCGCGCATGCACACATGCCTCCCACTGGCCAGCTGGTCATTGAGACTCTGCCGCTCATGCGTGGGGGACAGGGCGTGTGCAGGTGCCCCCGTGCACACATGTGCAGGGGGGCACATGGGGGGCCATGCACACATGCATGGGGGCATGGTGCATGTGGGGGGCACGCGCGTGTGTGGCATGTATGCAGGGGGCCACACATGCATGTGTGGAGGCTGGGGCATGTGGGCCATGCACGCATTGCAGGTGGGGTGGGGGTGGGTGGCATGCATGGGGGGCATTTGCGTATTGCATTTTGGGGGTTTGGACGTACACACCAGTGGTGGGTTGCCCCTGGTTCGGAGCAGTTCGCAAGACAGTTCGTAAAACCAGTGGGAAGCCCAGCCCATCACCCCGGATGTTGTCATCAGCAATCTGCGCAGGCGGAGAAGCAAGGCGCATGCACGCGCGAAGCGGGCGCGAGCGCACGATCTCGTTGTGAACCGGTGGTAAAGGTAAGTAGAACCCATTGCTGGTGCACACGCGCATTCAGCCCCCCGCCCACATGTGCTTTGAGCACTTTGTCCGGAAAAGGTTAGCCACTGCTATAGCTGGTCGATGGACCTGAATGATGAGGTAAACCTATCACTTGGTTCTCCAAGAAGATTAAATCAACAATTTGCTGCTTGTTCCTATTGGGAGTCAGAAGGTAAGCAAAGTCAGATTTGCTTAAAAGGAAGTGAGACCACCAAGAAATTCCACAGCTATAAGAAAATGTCAGAAAGCAACAGCGCAAAATCAGATCCATACAATTTCCAATGATGTATCTATAAAATGGAATACGAATAATCCCAGATCTTCGCACTTTCCAACGTGCCCTGAAGACCTTTCTGTTTCAACAAGCAGGGCTAGCATAAACATCTAAATTCTATGCCAAGATCTTCGCAGATACACCAAGTTGACTCAATTTATTATTTACTGTTTATAAAGAAAAAAAAAATTATTATATGTATATGAAATCTTAATCTGTTCGCCGTCCTGAGTCCTTCGGGAGAAGGGCGGTATAGAAATTCAATAAATAAAATAAATAAATAAATAAATAAAATTACCGGGAATCAAGAGCAACTGGAACAGTGGTGGGTTCCTTCCGGATCGGCCCGGTTCTGCCGAGCCGGTAGCGGTGACGATATGACATCACCGAACCGGTTCTGCCCCCCACCCCGCCCCCGCTCCCACCCCCCGCCTTCCCCCCCGCATTATTCTTACCTTTTATTTGGCCCCACCCCCAATTGCTGCCTCCTGAGTCCCAGCTGATTGGTTAGAAGGAAAAAAACTATTTAAACTCTTGCCACGGGGCTTCAAAGGGCCTTCCTACAATTGATCAGTGTTAAAAGGCAGTTTGGTGGTAGACTGGTGCCTCCAAAAATAAATGTGTAGGCCAGTTCCTCCAAAAACAAATGAATAGACCGGTGCCTCCAAAAATAAATGGGTAGGCCAGTGCCTCCAAAAACAAATGAGTAGTCCGGTACAGCTCTGCAAGCAGTTAAAAGCCTGGTAGACCAGTACCTCTGCTAAATCCTAAAGAATTGTCACATGACCATCAAGCCACGCCCACAAAATAAGCCACGCCCACAGAACCGGTAGTAAAAATATTTAGAACCCACTGGAAGAAAAGATTTCCCTTTACCCATTAGTAACCGTGGAACAGATCTGCATTCGATGCAATCTCTTGTAAATTTAGACGGATGTAAAACAGAACAAGATAAAGGAGTCATTATTCATATATAACACATTCTCACTTATTTTACGCTTGGCTATTCTTGCCAAGCCAGTATGATTTGCTACGTCAAGGTGGCAATGTTTCGTTGTATTATTCATAAAATTCAGTCCACTTTGATTACCTCAGGGATCTATTTGTATTTTATATTATCTGAAACAGAAATTGTTCAGTTATTTTGTTAACTTGCTAAACTCTGGCCTGAGACCATAATAAAGAACTATTACTACTACTAGAATATTTGATGATTCTAAGTGTTAGACAAGGACAACCAAATTCTAGGTCCTCCTCAGCTAGAGAAGTTTGTGAGAAGATTTTGGGCCACATTGGGTCCACATTGCCTCAAAGAATAGTCATGGGGGGAAATGGATGGAACAGTATCTAACCACTTCTTTGAATTCCTGAAGGAAAGGCTGGCTCTAAATCAGATCAATGGAGCTGCCAGAATCCCATAGAAAGTTAAGATCATATCTTCAAGGATTCCCAAGAAGAACCCTCTTCAAGAAATGAACATAGTCAGTTTGTGAGCTCAGTTTTTCACGTGCAAAGAACTTTCTACAGACGTCTACAAAAATTTAATTTCCCCCTTGCCTAGATTTTCAGCCTGAATGAGAAGGCTTTATGGTCTGTATGAACTGTGAAGAACATCTCCAAGGAATAAATTAGAGATGGAGGAGGAGGAGGAGAGGAAGGAGGAGGAGGAGGAGGAGGAGGAGGAGGAGGAGGAGGAGAAGGAGAAGGAGAAGGAGAAGAAGAAGAAGAAGAAGAAGAAGAAGAAGAAGAAGAAGAAGAAGCTCCTTTGTGTGATTTCACTCTTGAAGTGCAGAAGAGAGGGTGCTCCCACCCACCAGACCAAGAAGATACAAGGAACATGAGAAGAAAATGACGAGAAGTTAAAAAGATTCAACATGCGTCTCATTTCCTTGCTTCAAATGAGAACCTCCCTCACCTTGCCAACTTCTACTTAGATCGCAGAGCCAATGATTTCAGTTGGATTAGTAGGATCCTTGCCTTAAAATTGCTCAAAGTTCATTCTCTATCAAAATCCAGAGCGTAATTGGGGGGCTCTTACAACTAATCCTTCAAAATTGTTATAATTTCTGGAACTGTTCTTCTTAACAGCTTCGTTTATGTATACCCTACAGAAGGTTTGGGATTTTTTCCCTGCAGTGGGCCTCAGTTCTGGGTGCTTTCTTTGAAAAGGCAGAGCTGGAGCTCATATTATACCCCTTTCCAGTGTCAGGAATTTCTCTCACTGCTGTCATTTTAGAAGACTGACCCTGTCTCTGCCCCCCTCCCCCACTGCAATTTGCACAGAGAGCAATTTGCACAGACATTTACAAAAATTGCTTCTATGGTACTTCCGTATCTATCACCCACTTCCTTCAGATAAAAGAGAGTTTAGGTAAAGGTAAAGGTTCCCCTCACACATATGTGCTAGTCGTTCCTGACTCTAGGGGGTGGCGCTCATCTCCGTTTCAGAGCTGAAGAGCCAGCGCTGTCCGAAGACGTCTCCGTGGTCATGTGGCCAGCATGACTCAACGCCAAAGGCGCACGGAACGCTGTTACCTTCCCACCAAAGGTGGTCCCTATTTTTCTACTTGCGTTTTTTACGTGCTTTCGAACTGCTAGGTTGGCAGAAGGTGGGACAAGTAATGGGAGCTCACCACGTTACGTGGCACTAGGGATTCGAACCTCTGAACTGCCGACCTTTCGATCGACAAGCTCACCGTCTTAGCCACTGAGACACCGCATCCCTTCCAAAAAGGGAGTTTAGACACTTTTTTTTAAAAAAAGAAACATTTTCACAATTGAGAAGCCAAAAAGAGGTGTGCATGCCAGAGAAACAGGCAGCAGATAAAAAGGTACTTTTTAAATATTTTTTTTTTTAAAAAAAACCACCCTCAGGAAACACAATTGCCTCAAAGCTGTCACCAAGAACCCGATGGCCTAGAGGTGGAGCTCTTGCCTCACAATCAGGAGGTTGTGAGTTCCACCCTAGGTAGAGGCAGATGTAGAGTCTCCTGCTTGGGCAGGGGGTTGGACTAGATGACCTGCAAGGTCCCTTCCAAATCTGTTAAATCTGTTAAATATTCTGCATCTCTGAATGTCCGGCTGAACTCCAGGGAGCACTTCTGACGAAACCCGTCTTGAAAGGAGCTGTCAAAAAATCTGTGGTAGTTCCATCTGCAATTGACCGATTGCCTCGGAGATGGAAGAAGCGCTTGAGAAAATGCAGGTCTGGTGGAAGGGGTTAATTGGGTAATCATTCTCTAGGATGGTTGTGATCCCCACAGTGGCCACAGTCAATTACAGGGAAGGGGTGGGTCTAGCAGAAAGGGGAAAAAAAAAAAGAAGACTCGTGCTGTGGACACATGCGTCTCTTTCGACAGTATCCAGCTTTCTCAATGTCTTGTTAGGGACCATGCTGCTTAGACTACTTTGGACTTATCATTCTGTAGGGGCAGCTGTAGGACAGCTCTCTGGGATAACTTACGGTCTGTTTGCCAAGACTCGCTTCCTTTTATCCCCGAATGGATGCTTAGTGGGAAAATTATGCAGCTTGTCGTAGAACCCCGCTTCGGGAGAATAAAGGATGGATATCTTTAACGACAGTCTGATTGAGCTCAGCGCCAATATCTCTGCCCTCTTCTGTGAACTCCAGTTGGAGAATTATACCAATTTTTGCTTGAATCACTCTCCCCGGACTTTTAAAGGTGAGTGCTTATCCAAAAAAATAATAATAATAATAATAAGAAGGACTCTACTGGAATTATTTTTACTAGGAATACTCAAAGGGAATCATGACCCAAAAAAAAGTATAATAATTTAATATTACATATTATAACTGCAGCTAGAAATAGTGTACGCCCAAAGCTGGAAGAATAATATTATGCCACCAGAGGAAAATGTGGTAAGAAAAATTCTAGTGTGCGCTGAGTTGGACAGACTACAAAAGACATAAAAGATAAAGGAGAAACAGAGTATTATATGGTATAGAATGAATGGTATAAAATGGTTAGAGGATAGATGTCAAAGTTAAGAAACGATCAAATGAAGAAGAGTTAGGAGTTAGAAATTAGTAATAACTCTGTACAAATAGGTATGACACAAAATGAATGATTACAATCTAGTGTGTTAATATGTTAATATGTATAAAATATAATGAAATCATATGTATAGATAAAGGAAAATTGATGTAAGGGGGAAAAAGGGATATATAATGAATGTATACCGAAGCGGAAATGCTGTAAAGAAGAAAACTCTCAAAACTTTTAAAAAACTGTTTAATAAAAATTATTTTAAAAAAAAAGAAGAAGAAGAAGGAATCTACCGGTAGCTAATCTAAAGTAAACAATTCGTGAAGGTTTTCGAGTCAGGCCGTGTGAAAAGTGACATTTGTGGATCAGGGAAAAGAGGAAAAGGAGGAACAAAGTCCATTAATGTTCGGCTTAAACCACCAGACATGTTAAAAGTTGCAAGGCAGGATCGAAAAGATCTAAGAGAATTAAGTTAAAATATTCAAATGAACCCTTCGAGGGCTACTCTGAAAGGTACGTGGGAGGAATTAACCACTCCTGTTAAAACATGCAATTATGTATTAGTCTCCTGCTGTCTAAATTAGAATCACAGCACTAGAAGAATGGTAAAACTTTATAAAGTTTAGCTGCATCATGGTGCAATAAGCAGAAATAACGTTTTCCAAGCCTAGAAAATCAACGTCTTAAAAAAACATAGAGCATGTTACAAAAATAAAATGAAAAGCAATCGAAGGAACACATAGGCTGATAAACTGTATTTTTGAGGGTGATGAAAGCAACCAGAGATAGTCTGGAGGTTGCCCTGGACTCTGTATAACAGAATAACAGAGTTGGAAGGGACCTTGGAGGTCTTCTAGTCCAACCCCCTGCTTAGGCAGGAAACCCTACACCACTTCAGACAAATGGTTATCCAACCTCTTCTTAAAAGCTTCCAGTGTTGGAGCATTCACAATTTCTGGAGGCAAGTTGTTCCACGGACTGATTCTTCTAACTGTCAGGAAATTTCTCAAGTTCTAGGTTGCTTCTCTCTTTGATTAGTTTCCACCCATTGCTTCTGGTCCTACCCTCAAGGTGCTTTGGAGAATAGCTTGACCCCCTCTTCTTTGTGGCAACCCCTGTATAAGATTACTGCCCCTTCTTTTGTTAACTTTACCAGCGTTATCCTCCAGTTCCATTAACTTAGAATGTCATAGGTTTTCAATTCTTTGGGGAAGAGAGACAGAAAACTGAGAGCAAATATAAAATTTCCAATCAGGCAGGCAGGTAGGAAGGAAGGAAAGAAGGAAGGAAGGAAGGAGAAATAAGAGGAATAGAGGGAGGGAGAGGGGAAGGAAGGAAGGAAGGAAGGAAGGAAGGAAGGAAGGAAGGAAGGAGAGATAAGAGGGAGGGAGAGGGGAAGGAGGGAAGGAAGGAAGGAAGGAGAGATAAGAGGAAGAGAGGGAGGGAGGGTAAGGAAGGAAGGAAGGAGAGATAAGAGAGAGAGGGGGAGGGAGAGGGGAAGGAAGGAAGGAAGGAAGGAAGGAAGGAAGGAAGGAAGGAAGGAAGGAAGGAAGGACCTGGAGAGCAGTTGTAGGAGAGCAGCATCAAGAGAGACACGTGATTAGCCCTTTCTTCTATTTATCATGCTTCCCTGGTTTGAGCTAACTGGCGTTTCTCAGGATCTAACTGGAGAGAAATCAGTTGGAGCACGTCTACTTCATCTTTCCCCCTGCTTATGACTTCTTCTTCTCTTCAAATGTCACCTGTCCCCCTTCACGCCATCCTATTTTGAACCACTGGCCAACCTCACGCTTGGTACTCCGTAACTGCTGACGATCCCATTTTAGAAGCGAAAAGAAAACAGGCTGAGTGATGAAAATATCTCTACAAGCACATAGACATTATCAGTCATTAGCATTTATTTTGGGCCTGAATTTTCTGCCTTCTTTTTATGTTTTTTAACCCCTCACAAAGTCTACTGTTATTAAAAGTAGCAACCATCCATATCAGGTTAAAATTATTGCTTGTCTTCATAGGGCAGCGATGGCTAACCTTTTTGCCATCATGTGCCAAAAGCGGGGGGAGTGCGGGGGGGGGGTCGCACATGTGTGTGCCCACACCCATAATTCTATGTGCCTCACCCCCGTGCATGTGTGTGCAACCCCTCCGCGCTTCCCCCGCTTTTGGCACGCGATGACACGATGGGCCCAGTAGGCCCGTTTTTTGCCATCTCTAGGCTCCAGAGCCTTTCTAGGAGCCTGGGGAGGGCAAAAACGGCCTCCGCCCCCCACCGGAGGCCCTCTGGAGGCCAGAAATGGCCTGTTTCCCGACTTCCAGTGGGCCCAGAAGGCCCGAAAACTGAGCAGGCGTGCCGACCAATATGGCTTCACATGCCACCTGTGGCACGTGTGCCATAGGTTCGCCATCACGGTCATAGGGTTTCATGTTATCAAATAATCCAGAAAAGTTATACAAGTAGTCCTCAATATATCTCAATATATGTACAGGTTATGTAGTATAACATTGCTTGTTTAGTGACCGTTCGAAGTTACAGCGGCACTGAAAAAGTGACTTGTGACTGTTTTCACACTTACGACCGTTGCCGCGTCCCCATGGTCACATGATCAGAATTCAGCCGCTTGGCAACTGACTCATATTTATGACCGCTGTAGTGTCCTGGGATCATGGGATCATCTTTTGTGACCTTGTGGCAAACAATGTCAACGAGGAAGTCCGATTCACTTAACAACCATGTTACGAATTTAACAACTGCAGTGATTCACTTAACAAATATGGCAGGAAAGGTCATAAAACAGGGGGGGAATTAACTTGTCTCACTTAGTAACATAAACTTGGGACTCAGTTACAGTCAAAGTCGATCAGTATCAATCCATGTAGAGTTTTTCATTGGCCAAATCAGACAGATTGTAGCGAAGAGGGACATTGCTCGTGGGTTTTGGAGAGGAGAAGACCTCTGACAAATGCACTGTGCTGGCAAATAGAAAGAAACGATGGGTGGGAGCAACGATGTGAAAAGACCCTTTCCTCCAAGTAATTGTAGGCGCCCCACTCTTAAGGAGGACTCAGAACAAGCTACTCGTGATGGAGGCATTGCTTGCCTCACTGCTTCCATTCTACAGTAGTGGCCAAAATTGTGGAAACCTTTTTGGGAAAAGTGTATTTTTGACGTTTGATAGCTAATAACACCATTTTTATTTATTTTTTTTGGAGTTTCAAGATAATCCTATTCCACTGCTGGAATAGCCTGGGAATGGCCCAGATCTTAACCCAATTGAAAATCTATGGAGCCGACTAAAGAAACCTGTTAGTCAGAAGCGACCCAGCAATAAAACCCAGTTAATAGAAACAATCCTTCAATCTTGGTTTCACATCATAACAGCTGCAGAACTCAAAGGCTTGGTTCACTCCATGGGAAGACGTTGTAAGGCCGTCATTCATGCTAAAGGTTACCCAACGAAGGATTAACTGACATGGGGATCATTTTTGTATATCTCGTTTTTTCTATGGTGATAATTTTTGTATATCTTGTTTTTTCTACGTGTTTTACTTTTCTTCTTTATACTGTAACTGCTATTCTAATAGCAAATCCTTCATAAAAGTTATTGCAATACATTTTTGATTAAATGATCTTTCCATTGATGTATAATTTTATGGCACTACTCCCCCAAAAAAGTGGTGTTATTAGCTAGTTTTAGAAAATACACTTTTCCAAAAAGGTTTCCACAATTTTGGCCACGACTATAGCTTGCAAGTCTCAGTGAGAAAAGCCACATCTTTTTTAAAGATAAAACCTAGAAATATTGGGTCTTTATTCTCCACGCATATCATCTCCCATGTAGAACAGGGATGTCAAACTCACGGCCCACAACCCGGATGCAGCCCGCATGGTGGTAACATCTGGCCAGCGGGGCCGGCCTGGATATAGCAAAGGAGCGACCCGTGGTGCCTCTGCTAGCAAAAATGGTGCATGGGGCTTCTCCGCATCCCGTTTTCGGCCTGGACGGCCTCCTGCAGCACCCTGCTGGCCAAAATGGGGTGCGGGGGCACCCTGTTTTGGCCGGTAGGGTGCTGCAGGAGGTGTTTCACACACACCCTTCAGCTGATCCGCGAAGGAGAACTACAATGCTGATCCAGCCCTCAAAGAAATTCAGTTTGACACTTCTGATGAGGAAAGAAAGTGTCAGGTTTTGAGGTTGTCTCAAATAAATTGCATTTCAAACAAAGTCTTTGAAAGAAAACTCCTATTTATTAAGCACGACATTCTAAATCCCGACTCCATCGAAGCCAACACTGACTTCCGGACCCAAAACCCTCCCTTTCCGTTCCCCACTCCCCTGCACTCATTGGCCATCTTCCCAGTCATTCTACCCCTAATCTACTGCTCCAGCTCAAAGGAATTTCCCCCTCCCATCCCATCTCCTAGGAGATATTATCTCCAGGGAAAATAAGTAGGTGAAAAGTCAAACGTCCCTTTCCAGATGCGTCCGCTTCTCCTTCTTATGTCAGCACTAGAGTAAATGCAGCTTGAAGTGCTGACAGAAAGAGCTTCTACCCCTTAGCAAGACGTTAGCATGTGATTTTCCACACGATGCTTCTTTCGACTCTGATGATTGTGCACTTTACCTTGCAGAATTGGACCAGACGGTACGGATCTTCCTCTATTCCTTGATTTTTTTACTCAGCATCCTGGGGAATACCCTGGTGATCACGGTGCTGATCAGAAACAAAAGGATAAGGACGGTCACCAACTTATTCCTGCTGTCGCTGGCCATCAGCGACCTCATGCTGTGCTTCTTCTGTATGCCTTTCACCCTGATCCCCAACCTGCTAGAGGATTTCATTTTCGGCAGCTCCCTCTGCAAAATTACCAGCTATTTCATGGGTGAGTCTACAGAATTGTCCTTGTTTTGCTAGGTGTCAAACTCAAGGCCCAGGGGCCTGGATCCGGCCTGTGGAGTGCTTAGCTCTGGCCTGCAGGGCCAACCTGGAAACAGTGAAGGATCGGCCCCCGGTGCCTCTGCCAGGGAGGGCTGTATGCGGTGCTCTCGAGCTCCATTTTCGCTGGCAGAGGTTGCAGGAGGCCATCGCAGTTTAAAACAGAGCTCGCGAGGCAGTGGTGGGTTCCTCCCGGTTCGGTCCGGTTCGGCCGAGCCGGTAGCGGTGACGATATGACATCACCGAACCGGTTCTCCAACCCCCCCACCCTCCCACCCCCCCACGTTATTCTTACCTTTTATTTGGTCCCACCCCCAATCTATTGCTGCCTCCTGAGTCCCAGCTGATGACTAGAGGGAAAAAAACTGTTTAAACTCTTGCCGCGGGGCTTCAAAGGGCCGTCCTACAGCTGATCAGTGTTAAAAGCAAACAAATGAGTCGGATCATATGTGAGAGGACTGGTTGTAAGTGCGAGGACCTTCCAGAAATGACTCTGACCAGCTAGCCACGCCCACCTAGTCACATGACCTCCAAGCCACACCCACAAAATAAGCCACGCCCACAGAACCGGTAGCAAAAAATTTAGAACCCACCCCTATCGCGAGGGCCCCAGGTGGCACTCCCAAGCCAGGGGTGAAAAATCTATTTACCTTCCCTACTGTTTCGGCTCTTCCTCTATTCCTTGAATTTTTTTACTCAGCGTCCTGGGGAATACCCTGGTGATCACGGTATTGATCAGAAACAAAAGCATACGGACACTCACCAACTTATTCCTGCTGTCGCTGGCCATCAGTGACCTCATGCTGTACATCACATGCGCACGTGGACCCTCTGCACATGTGCAAACCCTTCTGCGCATGGGCAGAGGGTAAAAAACAGGTTACTTCCTGGTTAAAACCTGATTAAAAGGTTTTTACAGGAAGTAACGGCAACCGGGCGGGTGAGTGGAGTCTCACGCTGTTGTCACTACCGGTTCTCCAAACCACCCGCCGCCATCACTACCGGTTTGGTCGAACCGGTCCGAACCTATAGCATTACACCCCTGTCCCAAGCTCCATTTTCACTGGCAGAAGATTGCAGGAGGCCATCGCAGCCGAAATGGAGCTCAGAAGCCCGTTTTCGCTGGGAGAGCGCTGGGGCCACCACAACCACCCCCGACATGAGTGAAGTCAAGCTGGCCATGCCTGCCCTGGCCACGCCCAAGGTCAAACACAATTCTGATGCGGCCCTCAATGAAATCGAGTTTCACACCCCTGCGCTAGGGAGTTATTGTCAGCTCCACAATTATCCATCTTGAATTGTTGAGTAAATAAACATGGCATCTTCTAACGGATTATAGGTAGTCCTCCACTTACGGCCACAACTGACCCCAAATTTTCCACTGCTAAGCAAGGCAATCATTCAGGGAGCATTGCCCCATTTTAAGGCCTTTTTTTTTGCCAGAGCTGTTAAGTGATTCATTGCAGTTATTAAGTTAGCGACACGATGGTTAAGTCAATCTGGCTTTCCCATTGACTTTGCTTGTCAATTGGTCGCCAAAAGTGATCACATTTATTTATTTTTCAGATTTCTATACCGCCCTTCTCCTTTCGGACTCAGGGCGGTGAACAGCCAAATATAAAACATTCATACACAAAAGTTAAAATAGATTTAAAATAATTAAATAAAATTTGGCCCATACTTTAAAACATTTCAATTAAAATCAATATCAATTTTAAAACCAGCCATAAAATCAGGACAGCCCGGCTAACTGAAAAAAATAGGTTTTAAGGGCCCGACGAAAAGTCCGGAGGTCTGGGATCACTCGTATCTCTGGGGGTAGATTGTTCCAGAGGGTGGGTGCCACCACAGAGAAGACTCTCCCCCTGGGGGTCGCCAGCCGACATTGTCTGCTGACGGCACCCTGAGGAGGCCCTCTCTGTGGGAGCGAACATTGTATGACATTGCAACCGTCATACATATAGGCCAATTGCAAGCATCCGAATTTTGATCACGTGACCATGGGGAGGCTGCAGTGGTCATAACTGTGAAAAACGGTCATAAATCATTTTCCCCACGCTGTCCTAACTTCAGTCATTAAACAAATGGTTGTAAGTCAAGGAGTACCTGTACTCACATGCCCAAGAAGGACTTGTCAGTCATTTGTGTAACTCTGTTGGGCTCTTCTAGCAAATCCAAAATGCACAGCTGCTTCTGACTTACCTCCAGAATGAGTAGGAGAAACAGCTACTCGAAAGAGAAATTTGTGGTTGATGTGGAATTTTGAGGTAGGAAATCTCAACCCTTTTCTATGCTTCCTATATATTCATATAACTACCAATGGCCGAGAAGCAGAGGTCGGCTGCTACCAGTTCAGCCGGTTTGGAAGAACCGGCACTATTCTGTCCTATATCACTGTGTTTTTTAAGCCGTGCGTAAGCGCGGAAGGTGAGCGTGCTCACGTTTTCAGTGCTGGGCAAACCGGTTGCTACAACCAGCAGCATCCCACCACTGCCGAGAAGGAACACCTCAGCGTCTTCACCGATCTCCTGAGGGTTTCCCAAAGGACTCCGAGCTTCCCTCGGAGAAAATTAGATCATCACCTGGAAAATATGGAGATCCGTATTTCCCAACCTGGTCAATGGTTGGAAATGCAACCTTCCAAGTCAACTCCCGGGATTGTTTTGTGCAATCATCTAAATCGGTTCTTAACAAAGTAACTCAGCTTGGATCGTCAGAGGCATTTAAAAGAAAAAAAAGCCTCTGCCGATCAGGCAACTCAGCTGGGATCGTCAGAGGCATTTAAAAGAAAAAAAGCCTCTGCTGATCAGGCACCTCAGCTTGGATCGTCAGAGGCATTTAAAAGAAAAAAAGCCTCTACTGATCAGGCAACGCAGCCTGGATCATCAGAAGCTTTTAAAAGAAAAAAAACCCTCTGCCAATCAGGCAACTCAGCTTGGATCGTCAGAGGCATTTAAAGAAAAAAAGGGGTTTTTTTTTAAAAGCTTTTGACGATCCCAGCTGAGCCGTGCGATCATCAGAGGCTTTTTTTTTTTAACTTTTAAAAGCATTTTTTTGGAATGAAGAGGTTGTAGAAAAGTAAAACAAAAATGATTGTGCGGCTCAGCTGGGCATGGCGGGGGGGCAGGGATTTTTGCTACCTGTTCTCCGAACCGCCCACCTCCATCGCTACCGGATCAGGCGATCCGGTCTGAACTGGGAGCATTTCACCCGTGTAATAAGCCCAATCAGGCTTTTGAGTGCATGCACTAAAATAACCCCCCCAAAAAATAAGCCCTCCCCGAAAATATTTAAATGCATGCACAGCTGGTCCCTGCCATTTCCTCTGGTTAGGGTTTGGGAGACAGAGCTGGAAATCAGGTAAGATGGCAAGAGGAGCCCCGTCTTCTCCACGCGCCCCAAAATAATAAGACCTCCCCGAAAATAAGGCCAAGTGCTTATTTTGGGGTTCAAAAAAATATAAGACAGGGTCTTATTTTCAGGGAAACACGGTAGTCCTCGACTTAACAACTGAGCCCAATATTTCTGTTGTTAAGTGAGACATTTGTTGAGTGACTTTTACCTCATTTTATGACCTTTTTTGTCACAGATGTACCTGCACTGTACAGGAAGATCATCCTATCTTCCTGGGGAAAAAAAACCTGTAATAAAAACCCAAAGGCAAAGTCCCTTTTCAGAAAAAAGGGAAACACTTTTGATGAGACAATAAATAAAGACAGTAGGATATAAAAGTAAAAATCAACAACTCAGAGGTAATTGCAGATCTAAAACCCTCAAAAGAACAAAAGACATTTCCCTCCCTTGGTGATTGCCATCAGAAAGGCAATTTGAGGATATATATCAATATGACATTTATAGCAACGTCAACATTTTGGAATGTATAATATAGGAGAAGACACAATTTGTAGGAATTATAGCCACAAATGACTCGTTCACTCTCTCAACACTTTGACCGTCGTTTAAATTTTATGTCTTCAAACTGCGGTCTGTCAACATGGAAAATTATACTTTTTCATATATCTATTTTTGCTGAACAAAGCTGGTTTTCTTTCATTCATGACCCTGAAAAGAAAAACGGCATCTCTTATGACAGTCAATATCATAAACCGAATTTTTCTCGTTAATCGAAACATAAATTAGGACGAGTTTCTATCCACTTTTTTCCCTCACATTTGCGTGTAAGAAAAACGGCTGTCAGTATGTTTCAGGCACCTATCATTTGAGTCCTGGACATCTGGATTGTGTAATATTTGATTAGATTATGGCCGTCTGATTTTGTGAAGCCTTTGAATAAATATTAGTCTCCTTCTGCTGATTTATTTGGTAGATAACTCATTTTAGGAGATCCCTACATAGACAAAAATTGTGATGTTATACAGAGATGTTGTCTCGGTCCTCAAAGAGAAGGAAGTTTTTTGTTTTTTTTTAAAGCTTCCAAAAGATACCAGTCTGTCACACAGTCATTTCAGTGACGATTGCTGGTTATAAACCTGGAACAATCCTAACGACTCTCTGCAAGATTCATTTCTTAAAGGGCACGCTAATGATCTTCTAGATCATGGGTCCTCAAACTACGGTCCGCGGGCCACATGCGGCCCGCTGAAGCAATTAATCCAGCCCACGGAGCACCATGAGGTTGCCCCGCCCATATTACCCCACCCCACACCCCACCCCCTTCAGCATAGCGCAGGACTTGCCTTCGGGAGCCCTGCGGGCTGGAATCGAAAGGTAAGCTCAACAAGAGAAGGAAGACTTACCGTAGCTACGGTAAATCTGTAAGTTCAAAAATAAGAGCTCATCTGGTAAATACAAAAATGCAGTGACATATCATCTATCTATCTATCTATCTATCTATCTATCTATTATCTATTTATCTATCTATCTATCTATCTACCTATCTATCATCTATCTACCTATCTACCTATCTACCTACCTACCTATCTATCA